TTTTTTTTTTTTTATTTTTTAATAGTTTTTGACGATTAGAAAAATATTAATTTTAAATTTAAAAATCCATTATTTCAAAAGTTATTTATATATAAAGTCAATGTTTTTTAAGCATATTATAAACATTTTAAATAAATTAAAATCTTAAAAAGTTAATAGTTGAAAAAATGAAAATATTTTACATTATATTTTAAATTATAAATTTACTTACTTTGGAGATATTGGACTTTCAGATATTCTTTCTTTTGGAGAACATGATTGAGATCTTTGTGAATCATTATTATTTGATATAACTGATTTTGGACTACCAGATCTAGATCTTTGAGAACCAGATTTCTGACTATGTGTAGATCCAATACTTGAATGTCTAGAATCTGATCTAACTGGAGATGGACTTTTAGAATTTTGTTTAGAAGATCTTTCACTAATATCAGAACCTACTGATCGTGCCTCATTTTCATTATCCGAATTTCTATCATGTGTAGAATTTGCAGTATTAGAGTTAGGTGTACCGCTACGACTTGATCTAGATGATCCTGATCGATTATCAGATTCTGATCCTAAAAGAAAATTCTTTACAATAACTTGTTTTTTTAAAAAGAATTTTACTAAACAAAAAAAAAATAAATATATTTATTGAATTAATATTGTTAAATTTTTACCAGAATCCCAATTAGAATCATATTGATTTTTCTTTGTTGATGGCATGTTTTTCTTGTGTTAAGAAACACATAACCTATTTAAATAAATATAAGCGATTCAAATTCAACCATAGACAAATAAATCATATAACAGATGCAAACTGACATGAAGAGCGGGATATACATTCTATATTGTCAACCAATCAAATATTTCAAAATTATAAATCGATCTTGTTTCTATATTTTAATCACATGATTTTATTTATATCTAGTCATTTTATTAAAATTTACTAGAATTAAAATTACTAGAATTTTATATCAAGCATTTATGTTTCATTAAATAAATTATATGCATTTGATATTTTTAAAATATGTTTTCGTTTTATATTTCATAAAATTAATATTAATTATTAGATTAAAAAATATAAAATTTTTTCGAAATATATTTTAAGATAATATATAAATTACAAATTAAAAAGATATATAATATATAATATATAATATAAGAAAAATTGTGATTAATAGTTTATTTATTTTAAAATAATAATTAAATTTTTCTTATATTGATTAATTACAACAAATGTTTTTTAATTATTATTATTTAATGTAATATAAATATGAATAAATAAGATTAATAAGAATATAATACGTAAATTTATTTATTAGTGTCATTTAAAAATGTTGGATTATCATATATATAATGTTTTGATAATTTTTTCTTTTCTATATTATTGTTAGATATACTATTTTCCAATTGTGGTTTATTTTCTGTCAAAATATTTGAATGATGTTCTGTTTCCAATACATCTTTTAATATATTTGAAGATATTGTTTTAGAAAATCCTGAAATAATAAATTTAATATATTTTGAAATTAAATTATTATTGCCATTATTATAATAACTTCATTATTAAAATATAAGTTTGAATTTCATTAATCTAAAAATAAAAATACCAGATATATCAATTTCCTGCAGTTGTTTATGGAAAAGTATTTCAAAATTGGAAAGTCTTTTTGAAGAATTTTGATTATCTTCTATTAATTCTCTAACAGTTTTATGTTTTCCAGAAGAAAATGCAATATTGTCTTTTAAATTAAATATTCTCTCAATATCTATTGTATTTTGAAGATTTTCAGCTACATTTTTTGCATGAATGTTAATATCATTTGATATATCTTTTTTCTAAAAAAAAAAAGAGAGAAGATAAAATATAAAATAAATATAAAATATAAAATATAATATAAAATAAAAATATAAAATAATAATTTATTATATTACCTTAATAGGATAAAATAAATTTAATTTTATATTAGCAAGTACATGGACAAATGTATTTAAACGATGATGCAACATAGCTAAAAATTGAATTGATAAAATAAAAACAAATGCAACAATAAAAAGACATCCAATTGGTTCCAAATGCATATATTTTCTATATATATGTATCTGAAAAAAAAAAAGATTTATGATAAAATTAATCAAAATATATTTAGAATATTTTATTATATTATATTTTATTATTATATTAAGAAAATAAGACCTACTTCATATTCATCAACATAGGTGATATTATATAGAATAGCAAATGGCCATTGGAAACGCAAAATATCTTTGTTTATTTGCAGTAAAAATATTGCTATTATAAATGTTATATTTATCATAAAAAATTTTAAAAGATATTCATTACGTATATTTATTAATTCCTTTGTAATATTTTCCTAAAAAAAATTTAATGTATTGTAATAATTTTTTATTGAATTTCTTAATTTTAATAATTTAATTTTTTTTTAGAAATCATACTTGTTTTTTTATATCATTTTCAATAGGAAATAAATATTTTTTAATCAATTGTTTCCAAAATTCTTCTTCTTTAAAAGAAAGAAAATCTACTTTTCCATTTTTTAAACGTTCATCTTGTAGCCAATAAGGATTTATTAAGTAATTTGAATTTTCTTGATAATCATTAATAAAAGTATCTTCTGAAATTTCAATTTCAGAATCTGTATTTCTATCTAATTTTTCAAATACTTGTAATTTTATTTCTTCATTATATGTTTTATTTTGATTATTTTTTTCTTCTATATTTTCGTTTGATATATTGATAACATCATTATCTCTATTTTCTATATTACTTTTTAGTACATTACTAAAATTATTAAAAATTTTAATTAAATTGATTGTAAAATAATTA